GCTCCTGTTTAGCAGTTAAATAGCAATTAAATTACAGCGCATTCTCTGTTTTATCCAAATTGTTTGTTTTAAAACAAGTATTCCTTAGTTTAGTATCCGCACATTGTTTTAGTATACATTTTTTAAAACATATATTGTGGCAGTCATAAGGAGCACACACGATTGACTGTAAACACGTCTTTATTCCATGAATGCCGACAAGTGGATCTATTTTGAACAAGGACAGAATAGTGTCCGCCATAATATTTATTAAAAGAAAAATAAATAAAAGTCCACGAGAGAGAAGCCTGACCCGAACCTGTTTTACTTCCGCATTCCTGTCGTTTTGGTCCGCAGCAGAAACTGCACGTGTGACCGCAAGTGGAGCTGCGCCCTATGATCCAATTGAAGGATCATAGGGTTCATTCAGTAGTTAAAAAATATAAATCTAATCTATATTGACAAAAAGAGTAGCGTCGTTAAAATTGTCTTAATTAAACAGAACTGAATATTGCCGTGGCCCTAGCGAATCAGGGCACAGAATACTAGTGGGGTGTCAGCGAATGAGAGGTGTCGTTTTTCACCTTCGTGACGTCAAGAACTTGCTGCGCAACCTATCTCGCTCTCTTTTCTGACGGGGCATGGACGCGAGCGGACGTATTCTTCGGCTGTTGCAAAGAGGTGTTTGGGGGGAAAGAGAGAGTCATTCTACGCAGTGAGTGTGCTCAGAGGCTTATGCGCATTTCGTTTAAAATAACTTGTTGCTAAAATGTAGTCACCTTCCTTAGACCTCGAGCACTGCTCCTGGCTAACGTAGCTGTTAGTTTTCCGTACCGCCGGGATTTCGCCGACCGTATAACGTCGTCGGAGTCTCGTTCAACATTCTTCTGGTGAGTGTACATGAATGTTAATAATGTACCACAGTACTTGGAATTAAGTACTTGATGGTAACTACTGTAGTTATTGTATTGTTGGCGCTCGTGTGATCTCGGCCCTATTAGGCCGGGTCTTTTACGGAGTTCTGATTGGGGACAGCGCTGGGATTAGCGTGCCTTCAGTGGAGTGGATTCCATTAAGGTGCCCTGACTTCCGAAAGTGCTGGAAAAGGGGTACAGTGGTGGTGGCGAGCCAACCAAAGAATATATATTACATTTGATAAACTTTTTATTTTATTTGTGTTGGTAATGTTTAGAGGAATTTATTTTGTACGACAAGAGTTGACGAGAACATTTTGTGTTTAGTTATTCCATTCAGATTGAGAAAAAAAAACAACCTCACGCCGGTGTTGAGAAAGGTGATCACAAATTATTTTGCGTTAAAGGAAAGGTCAACCAAGAGGTTGAGACTAAGTTGGATTTATTTACTTTTTCACTGTGTTTTTGTGACAATAATTTTGTTGTCATGTGTTTATGTTTGATATAAAAATTACTTGTTTTTACACCTGTTGTCTTGTTTCTTTGCCCATGCTACCCCCTCAATGTTGCCATCATTGGCTCCAGTGAATCGAACCTAGTGTCCCCTTACTGGTCCAAATAGAAACCCGTTGTCTCCAACAATTATAAGACAGACGTAGCCCTTGTTACAATAACAAAACAAAATACACAACATGAGTGATCGTACAGTATAGTAACTATGCACAGGAAACGGAGAAAAAAAACACATTCACCATTATATACAGGGCGTCACTAAACGCATCACACGCAGCAGAAACGGCTGCGCAATGAACAATAATGGCGGCCGCGACGAACTGCGGACACGCCAGTAACACAAACAGCCAAATGAAAAACAACACGAACAACTACAGTATACACAGTAAAACTGAAAAGAAACCAACATCACCTGCAAAACATTGTGGCTGAAGTTATGGTCAAGTCGCATTTGGTCGTTGGTATGACTGCGCAACAGAAAAACAATTTCAAGTCAACTGAAACAGTAAAAACTTTCACTCAGCAAAATAAAAATTAAATAACAATACAAAAAGCAATGTGGGCTCAGAACAAATCTGGGAACTAATTGAACACACCACACAGTAGAAAAAGGAAAACAAAGTGATATATTGTCATAAAATTATAAATAAAACCGGACCATCAACCACATGCGACTTAGCCTGCGACTTCCCTGATAGCTCTGACTGAGCTACGGCGCGAAGCTTGTGCCATACTGTGCGCTGTTGCGTCACTACCATAATAATTTAACAAGCTTAACGTATTACTCCGTTACACAGAGATCCTGGGTTCGAATCCGGGCTCCGGTCTTCCTGTGTGGAGTTTGCATGTTCTCCCCTCCTGGTACTCTGGTTTCCTCCCACATTCTAAAAACATGCGTGGCAGGTTGATGGAACGCTCTAAATCAGTGATTCTTAACCTGGGTTCGATCAAACCCTATGGGTTCGGTGAATCGGTCTCAGGGGTTCGACGGAGCCTCTGCCATGGAGGTTAAGGCACACCAGACTCAACACGTCAGTTAATTATGACATGCCCGCTTGGCCATCAATGGCTGCAGATGATCACATTACATTGCCTGTCCAATCAGTGCTGCGACATTTAGTTCGCTCAGTAGTCAACTGTGACTGTCGTTATAATACGTCGTCATATTAAAAAAACCTGCATACTTATGTCTTGAAATTTTGTACTTTTTTCTTGTTTTTAATAAATAAACAAATACAAAGTCATATTTTAGTTTTTCACGAATGAAGGGTTCGGTGAATGTGCATATGAACTGGTTGGGTTCGGTACCTCTAACAAGGTTCAGAACCACTGTTTTAAATTGTCTCTTGAGTGTGAGTGCGGTTGGTTGTTTGTCAATAGGGGTGTTCACACGGAACACATTTGCTCCGGCGCTACACCGATGTATTTTGTTGCGATATATTTTACACCGGAGCAAATTTTGTGGAACGGTCACACGTACAAAGCCACTAAGCGTGTTAGCACCGGCGCAGCGTTGGTGCAGCTCCACCTGCGGTCACACGGCAGTTTCTGCAGCTGAGCAAAACGACAGAAAACAGAGCTGTCGTGTTGGTTCTTTTTAAAACTTATACACAACTCAAGCAACTACTGTACAGGCGCGTCCTTCTCCTTCTTGGTCTCCGTGCCTTCTGCTCGAAAGTGACCGCCCCCGAAAAATTAAATCAACGATGACTTCAATGACACTCAGAAAAGTAAAAATTGAATGCGCCAAACAGAAAATCAAGAGAGGAAATCACAAAATAAATTATATGGGGGGGGGGGGGGTTGTCAACACACAACAAATGAACAAACTACACAAAAAAGCCCGAGACAGTCCAGTCTCCTACAAAAGGAAAGATGACGTTTGGGGACTATCTCCCCCCGTTCTATTTGAGATGGTATAACCCAAGAGGTGCCGCCTACTGTTACCAGCCGTGTCTTGTGTTGTTATTAAACAAACACACGACGGAAGTCCAACAGAGCATGAAAGCAACGCATTCTCGCTGTATGTAATCAACTCTTCTCATGCGTAGCGAGGCTACCCCCGCCCCCCTCCCCCAGCAAACGAGCATTTGCTCCGGAGCAAATTGGAGAGTTCACATGTGCAAATTTACATCGGGTGCTGCTCCGCAAACGAGCATTTGCTCTGGATCAAATTTTTAAGCCACCTCCCTGAGGTGGGTCAAATTTGATCCGGTGTAAGCTGTTTTCTGGGGCTACCCCGGAGCAAATTGCACATGTGACCGCTCCACTGGCGCAGCGCCGGCGTAGAACCGCAGCAAATGTTGCCGTGTGAACACCCCTAATGTATGCTCTGCGATTGGCTGGCAACCAGATCAAGGGTGTACCCGCCTCCTTCCCGATGACAGCTGGGATAGGCTTCAGCATGCCCCGCAACCCTTGTGAGCATAAGCGATCGGAAAATGGATGGATTGATGAATTGACCAAAAGTTTTCAGTTTATGTAATTGCCAAAAGAATTCCAGTAAGAAATAACTTATGGAACAAATAGAAACTCTCTGAAACACTTTATTCCGATGTAACTAAGCCACTTTGGCCACTACTGCTACTGTTTTCTGGCTTCAAGGGAAAGCAAGCACAGGCAGAACAAATTGTGGTCGTATTTTGTTTCCCGACTTGTGTTAATTAAACGCATAGTACCAGATCAAATAAAGGCTCGTTTCCTGTTTTTCAATGTCCAATTTTTAAAAAAGGGAGAGGGCTTGACTTGACTTGTCTTGGCACGTTCACGTTCACGTTCATTGAAGGCAGCAACACTACCCTCTAGTGGATGGCCTATTCGCACATGAACGTCTGAGACCTCTGCGTGAGGTTTGTCTCAAAAAAAAAACAAAAAAACAAATGCGTGTGCGAGCTGATCCACAAACGCGCATTCAATAATTCAAACGCAGAATTTAATATTTACAAACGAAGAGTCACGATAAAGGTGAACACAACACTTGCATGTTAGTGGATTTCAAAAACATGTGAATAACGCCGACATGTGTGAATAATTTTGAGACCAATTTTTCCCCGTGTAGAGAATGGATGGAGAAATACCACGCACGCACAGGTATGCAACTGGAGGGAACGCGGAACGCAAAAACCTCTAAAAATCACCTCCTGATCCGGTAGAGTGGGGGGGGGGGGGCGCAGTGCCTTGCTCAAGAGCGCATTGACAGTAGCCAGGAAGCACACTAGCCTCTCTCTGGATGAGACTTGAACATGTGATTTAGGGCTTCACCATATTGGATTGTTTGCTGCTGAAATGCCATTGGTCAAAAACGCACCTGATTGTTCTGCCGGAAAACGAGCACAGCTCTTTGCACTTAACATAACAGGTTTGACGCAAACCATTGAAAATCCAGATATTAGAGACTGTACACAATAGGGTGACATTTCCAGATCGATCAAAAAAGTGTTTGTCGTGTTTTGGAAAATTATTGCAATCGTTTTCCTATTTCCCTAAAACCTCGATTGTGAATAGACCTGTGAGTATATCATTTGTAACGACACTGACATTGCTGGTGCTTGACAGTTTGGAGAGTCAACCATCCATCCCGTAAAATTAAATTGGAGTTTATCCCTGGTGACTGTTGGCATAAAACGAACTTGACTTGGGGCAGTTTGCAGAGCCTCATCCTCGAAATGCGACGTCCTATGCTAATCTGTTTGGTGGCTTTCAAATTACTAAATGGGCGAAGGAACGTCACAGCAAAACAAGTAATCGCAAAACACCGAAAATGTAAAATTAAAAAATACATATTATATTTCCCTTTTGTGTGGGCAGATCAACTATATGTGAACTTGCAGGCCCGCGCGCGGACACACACTCACAAACATACAGGCACACACAAGGTCAGCCACTTAACCTCCTATAATGATCGGTCCATTAACATCATCAATGTATTACGTCGAAATCAACACTGAAACGTAATCGCGCCGTCACTTTCTTATATCAAACCAAGATGCATTAATTATTATTTGGCCTGTCACACATATAACGAGCAAAGGATTCATCGCGGAAAATGTTCATAGGCTATGTGAAACCTTTAAAAAAGTACTATGTAAAAGTCTCACTTTCGCACTTCATTTTATTTAACAGAGGCAACGGATAAATAGTTTTCAAGGTAAGTGGTAAATACGCTGCTTTCGAATGTTATTAATTACAATGCAAGGACAAATGTGCATGAACAACTAACACCACAATACTGAGTCGATAAATAATCATTTAAATTCAGTATTTTTCGCATTTGTGTTTTTCACTTTCGAAGAAAATATTTTAACACTAATCTAACAATACAGTATAGACCCTGCAGTACAATCACAATAATCAGCTCTTTCGTTACATCATCACTCACAATAATATTGGAATGTACACATTTACAAAAACAGTCATAAAACACGACTAACAATAACAATATCTCTGTAAATGGATGGCGTCCGGTTAACGGTACCCCGCTGCCTCCCAAAGATCGATGGGAAAACGTATGCTCTTGCTCGCCCGCGGCCCTATAGTGAGGATAAGGAAATGGATGGGTGTTAATAATAATAATAATCTTGTGTATATATATATATATATAAATTGTGCAGTGTCACACAATATGGTCGGCGTCTATCGTATATTAGGCGACTGCTGCTACTATTTAAAACATGTACCGTCAAAATATTGAAAAAAAAGTGAGCAACCGCACTCCGTAACGTCCAGCTTCAAATCACAAATAAAGTATAATTATGTGCGGATTTATGCCTGTTTGCAGTGTGCAGCCTCTGTTGGCCCGTGTATGAAATTCGAATGTTTTATTAACATGTGGTACGAGAAATTCGATTGATTGAAATTGGCGCATATGATTTGAAATAATGGATTCGCACGCAAAAAATGTATGCTGTATATATATTTTTTCTGTCTTAAATGTTTTTTGCTGTTGTTTTTGCGCACTCGTGTTGTGTTTGAACATTATCTGTAAAGGGACAGATATCATTGTGTCCCGATTAGGAGGCCTAATAATGATTTCATGTAGGAGGCGGTGCACTTTCCGGAGTCGAGTGAGTTGCCAAGGCAGAGAAACTCGATAATTGGGACTATAGTTATTAAGCCACTTTTAGTTGGTATTCATCACACACACCCTCTCTGACTCCTCGCCCCCATTTCCTCAGTTAGCGAATAACAACAAATATAAAACAGTGAGCAGTGCGCCGGGAAAAGGAGCATGAAAATATGACAGCCGTAATTTTTTTCTCCCCGGCAACTTTATGCGAACCACTTGGGATGGTAAAAAAGTCAAACATATTCATTCATGCGCCCCTGTTTTAAAGTGTCTATGTATTTATGGATTTATTTATTAGGCCCTACACTATACACACTGTACTAGCGCACTGTACTATGGCTTGGAATTGCTATTTGTCTTTCAGACATACCTTCAATCCAGTCCTGAGGCGCTGGTCGCTCCTTGCAGAGTGCTGGAAGGCTCTGCAGAGTTGTCTGGAGCATGATTGACAAAAGCGTGGGAACACACTCAGCAGCTCACAAAAGCAATGCCACCGAAGACACTTTCCTTAGCAGATAAATGAAGGGGTGAGTGCACAGAGGTCATACTCCACAGTCACTGTTATAGCACACGTTCTTTTCCTGCTAAAGTGCAATTTCCCCCCACCCCCCACCCAACGAGTTTATACTTTTTCCTTCCATGTACGCGTAAATCACACACATTTCCCCCAATCCGTCAGGAATAACAATTAATTTTAGGCAGCACAAATAAATACATTTGTCAAAGTGTATTTATCGTCAAAATTGCGGCAGTGCCCTGTGCCCACATTGCTGTTTATTAATTTTATTCAATATAGCATATTATTTATTTTGTGTTAGATCACGGTTCGGGTTGAAGTAGTTAGTAATAGTAGTAGGAGTTGCCTACGCAATTGTGGCTTCAATTTCTGGGTTATACTGATACGTATTATTATTATTATTATTATTATTATTATTATTATTATTATTATTATTATCAATGTTGCTGTTGTTTTATTAAATGATGACTATTCTCCTCTTTTCCCTCTCCAAAACTTGTGTAAATATCCGACAAAATATTACAATGTATCTCCCGAACATCATGTTTGCCGTAGCTGACGTGCAATAGTTAGAAAAAAATGTCTGAAATATATTTTTTTTCTAGTTCGTATTTATGTGGCGTGTGTGCACTAACTCTCTCCTCCTAACTCGGTTTCCATGTGTGCAGATTGTTGTATCGCCAGTTTTGTGTGCGAGCGCGCGCGAGCGCGTGTGTAAAGGGATATCCTCTTGGCCTTGGGAAAAATCAGCGTGCGACAGACTTGACAGAAAACAGACTGCAGCATCGAGCTTCCTCTCAGCTAATGAATTCCTGATCACATTTATACACACAGACATACGCGCACTATAGGATAAAGGCTTTTTAAGTACAAAGAGGTATGTATCCCTTAATGTTGAGCCTCACTTCGCAACTCCTTTGACACATTTTATGTTTGGAACAGAACGCAGAAATCATAAAATTTTTGGTTTTTTAAAATGTATTTTTATAAAAAACAGCAGCCCATTTTCGATTTGCTATAAGTGCTGCTGGAACATTAAATAATAGGTTGTTTTAGCTCTTGCAAAATTCATGTCTTATAGATGGTTTGACGCAATAAACTCGTCTGACGCTGCTGAGTTTGAAGGATGACGAATTGGGATTGAGTCTGTATGCATTGCCCACTTTGACCAACAGAGGGAAGAATAAACCCCTCCCCAACACTGGTGGCATGGAAGTGGTGGAAGAAAACGTCGAAGTACTTGTGAGTGCGCGTCGACTGCATCTGTCAAGTTTTACTCAGATTATTGAAAATTCGGTATTGATGTGAATCAACAGAGGGGCTTTGCATCTTATTGGGATTCATGTTAGTAATTGTGCTCCTATCACAAGTGTTCCTTTTGGACTGTTTTGAAGGACATTGAAAAACTATGACCAACAAAAATAAATTTAGTCCACGCGCCTTTTACACATACGGCTGGTTTGATTCCCAGTTAGTACCCCACGATCCAGCCACTGCCGGTCCAAAGCCCCCCCGTTTTTTTAATCTGCTTAATACTTACTCCACCAATGCAATTTTAAATAGAACACTGTGTTTAGTTTAGTGGGTGCACATAGAACATATTGAAAAGATTTTTGACTTGACTTCAAGATCTCCACCTGTCACTTACCGTTCAAGTCAGTGGCCAGCATAAGAATGTGGCAAATATAATGTCAGCGATGTCAAGGGCGATCATGAAGAGCTCCGTGCAGCCAAACATCATCCATCACTCAACATCCCCCTGGGACCCCGGCTGCGGTGTCCTTAGTCGCTGCTCCAGTGTGTACCGCTCACTGTGGGGTCCTTGCTGTGTTTACTACTATGATAGGTTTTGCAGTGGCCAAGTCCATTCTTAAATCCAATTTCAATGCTGTTGGATGACCTTAAACAGGCAGTTCATATTTGATAGCCATTATGACTGAAGTGAAACAATTGTGCAAAGAGAGGGACAAAATTGTTCTATCTTGTTTTGTTTGCTTGTTGCTGTTTAGAATTTTCCTCTCGGTTGCAATTTTCCTGGTTGGGTTTTGTGGGCAAAGTGTGTCAGGTCGCACCTGCAGGTGATCTTCAACAGCAGGACTCAGGAGGAAGATGCAGAAAAGGAGTCCCTTACTAGTTGCAGTTTCGGTCCCATTTCACACGCTGAGTCCTCTGAAAGCTGCATTTTCGGCTGTGTTTTTCGGCCGCATTATGTCAATTCCAGCGCAACTCGACCCGCACATGGTTTGCATATTCTCGAACAGGGGTCGGGAACCTATGGCTCGTGAGCCATATATGGCTCTTTTGATGATTGCATCTGGCTCGCAGATAAAACAAATTATTTTCGCTTGTTTAATGCATCCATCGATCGATTTTTCACTGCTCATTTCCTGTTCGGGCTGCATTTGGCTCCAGCAGCAATTTTGATTGGATGATACTCGCCTATGTTGCTGTAGCTGTGGAAACAGGTAAGATAAGATAATTTATTGGGATAATATTTGTCCCACACTGGGGAAATTTGCCCCTTTCGAATCAGCCCGCTCGGTCACTAGCTCAAAGCTAATCCTTCGACGAATACGATGGCGAAGAGAAAAAAAGATGACGATTATGTTACACTTCAGGACGAATAGACCGAAGGATTCGCCTTTGTGGAGAGAACAGGTTCTGCAGTGTGTCTAATTTGCAATGACAAAATACCATCGATGAAACAGTCGAATGTAAAGCGGCACTTTGACACGCCCCATACTACGTTCGCATCAAAGTACTCTGTGAGAGACAGCAGAAAGGAAGCGTGCAAGCTACTGAGCAGGGTGCAAGCTAGCCAGCAGCAACTTCGTGTATGGACCCGGCAAGCTGACTTTCATTCCGATACTTTTGCTGGATTTTTAGCAACCGTGAGGAACAAAAAACCATCCACATTAATAGTGAGGAGGATCACAAAATTATTGATACATTCAGAGGCTTATTATACTGACATTTTGTTGAAATCACTTTAAAAATACAG